AGTGGCAGCTTTTGTACCTTTTTTCTGAGAGAGCTCATGTCAGTCTTTTGCACATACCTTCAAGTAAAGTGTTACTATATATATATATATATATATATATATATATATATGATGTACTGCTGCTGTTGATTATTCAGTCCATGCTACTGCTAATAAATGTGAGCATGCAAGAAATGATACTGCTGCATGAATAGACAATGACATAAATAAAACCCGTAACAGATCTAGGCAGGTGGAGCTGGGGGAGGTGGAGGGTTTCAGAGGAACTCTGATAGCACGCTGTAGGATTAGCTTACAGCTAACAATGAACCAGACTATTTAAATGTTGAGCAAGCAACATCATTGGCTGCAGGATCCGCCGAGGCCAATCGGCTTGTGCAACACTGCAGGTTTTCTTGTGTGTGTGTGTAATAAGTTGCGGGTTAGCAGGCAGCGTGCATGTGTGCCACAGTCTTAGCTCCCACTGTGAGGGCCACACAGAAAGAAACAAACATTGTAATACGACAGCCCAAACAAACAAACAAACAGCATTTTTGTGGTAATGGCTGTGATTAAGAGATAAGGGAAGTTAGAGAGAGATAAAGGCCACCCCCAGCGCTGACCTTCAGAAATGGCACAGCTCTTTCAGTCAGCTGCCATTCACACACTCCAAGCATGCAGAGTCAGGATTAAGCGAGAGAGACCTGCTCTCATTCTGTCTGCGACTTGTGGTTCATGCAGAAACAAACATCAAACATCTCCGCGCATGTAATTGGTCAGAAATTGATCACAAATTTACTTCTAAATTACAAATTTGCAACCATGTGCTGGTGCCTAATTTTAAATACTTTTTCTAATCTGGTAACGTTATTATCAAACCTCTAATTTTGTTCATTTCAAATTTTTTACTGTAACATTTCTATTATATCCAGTGAACCAGACTCTTCACATCTCTTCTAATACTAACAAAAATAACATTTATCCATTTATGTTTTCTGCTATTTGATTTCATGAATATTATGAGCCTCAGTTCTCTGCAGTTATTCAAAGTGGTCAAAAAATTCAGGTTGAATCTGCAGGTTGTAACTACTACAGCACAGAATACTATATCCCAAAATGCATTGTGATTAACTCGGCCATCCATTTGTAAAGAATAATACAGAGGAAATATTTGCCATTATCATATTTTTCTCTATAAAATTTTTCTCAATTACTCCATGATTTCAGTGTCACATGATCCATCAGAAATCATTCTAATATGCTGTTTTGGTGCTCAAGAAACATTTCTTATTATTATCAATGATGAAAGCAGTTTTGCTGCGTAGCCCTCAAACCGTATTCGCTTTATAGCCCTTAATCCTGTAATTGTGGACAAATGTGGGCACAGAGGACTAATCCTAATTTTTATTTATTATAAATGTTATATCACTGTCTTTGATAAAGTTTTGTCTATCCATTTATTTTTTTTATTTGCTTTTTTATTTTGGGGGTATTTTTGAATTTATTTACTTTAAAAAGTACCATATTTTCTATGTAAATTGTGCTTATTTTTATGTCAATCAATCAATCAATCAACTTTATTCCAGACACAAAGGTCCATAGAGACAACACAGTACATATATTTAAATAAATAAATAACAATACAAACAGTTAAAAAAATATGTATATGTATTATTAAAAAAATAAAATATGTAAATATAATATAAAATATTAATAATGTATATTGTATAAATGTATTATTTTTTTAACTACATTAAAATATCATTCCAATAAGTTCTTAGAGCTAAAACCTAAAGATGAAGTGACTGTCACCTGGTGTCTTATTTTTGCTTATTTTGTAAAATAAAATAAATTTTATAAATAAATTTTATAAAATGCACTAAATTAAATTTTTTTCCTATTCATTTATAGGTGTCCATTTTTGATCCAAATGCATTATTAAGGAGTTTTTTTCACCCACTTAACATTGTAGAGGCAAACGTGGGAAAAGTAGCAGAAATGGGAAAAGTAGCATAAGAACATACATTTTTCTTAAAAAATAAAAATAAATTCCAGAGCGATAAATCAATTTTCCTCATTCTGTTTCACTCAGAATATGCAAAATTATGAAAATAATATGAAAGTATGATGAGGTCATAAGACAAAAAAATACAGCACATACTATTTGAAACATAATACCTGCTTTTCCCTAAACTATTTTTAAAAGTATGCACTGCAGTACACTCTTATTCCAACACAGCAATGTCTCCAGTCAGGTGTGTTATAAATCTCCCTCTATAAGCCTTGATTGTGGATTGTGATTTTTTGAACCCACCATTGCTCCTGTGATTATACTCAAATCAATAGGCTTCCCATGCCACCACTATTGATCCGCCCAGTCATGTGTGCTCACCACATCTGGAGGAAACAGGCTGGATTGTTTCAGCATTGCAGCAGATAGCAGAGATGCACAAAGGATTCCAGCTCCCTCTGCCAGTGGACAGATTACAGCAGGACTCAGAAACGCCCATGTATGTCAGAAACAAATTCCACCTGCCATCGATTTGTGATAGCAGTGCTAACAAGTCATGTTTCAATCATGTGAGATGTGGTGATTGAATGTGTCCAAATGCATATGTAATGTCAGGAGTCTGGCGGTTTGATTGACAGCTCAAGATATGTGGATATGAATGCAAGAGGTGGGGCAGCTCTTTCAGCGAAAAGAAAAAAAAAATGGATCGATTCATTAGCCAAGAGTCAGAGTTCCTGAGAGACAGCAATCTCAAGTGAGTTCTATTGATTTTCTTTTTCAATTATGTAGTGAAAGGTAAATCACAGTCTGTGGCGTTTAAAAATGAGCCGTATAAACGTAAACAAAAAGAGTGTGTGAACCTCAACCTAAAATTACACAAGCAACAATCAGACAGTATATTACACTCTTTGCAGGCCTGTTATCGACTCAAAGAAAGGCTTGTGTGCATTTGTGTGAATCATTTGTGTCTAAATATTGGACTGTTGGGGTCTGTCTGTGTGTTTGATTTCAAAAGGACGCTTAAAAACAAGGGCCTGTATTCATAAAGAATCTCAATGCAAAGAGTAGCTCCTAAAATGTGGGCGTTTACTCTTAAAATTAACGAAAAAAATCCTATAGTCATTCAGAAAGGCATCTCAACCCTGGCCAAAATTGTTAGGAGTATTAAGAGTTTCTTTAGCAGAGGAGTGAATGGCAGAACAATGAAGAGGGAGAAGAAATGTTGAAGACAATAGATGACAGTGAGTTAATAAGACGCTATAGATCATGTTTGTGACTGATCTTATTAGAGACAAACTAATATCTCCGACACAGCGCAGGAATGCCATAACGCCAGAAATGAAAGTAATCACTACATTAAGATATTTGACAAATGGGAAAATGCAATAAAGCAGCAGTGATTTGGATCTGTCACAACCTTCTGTAAGCAGTGATCACACAAACAATTACAGCACTTTCAGAATCTCTTATTGTGTCGCAGTTCATTTAGTTTCCACTGGACATTCCCATCTTGCAGGCTCAAACAACTGCATTTATGAATATAGCAGGCATGGTGTGCACAAGCCTGTTAATAATTTGCGCTATAAGCTCTCATGTCCGCTTCTTGCTCCGTGCTGTGACACCCGGCCCGAATTTTCCTTTAATGATGGCCTAGTGTTCATCCACTAATGGGCTAACAGTAAACGCGGTTCTTATGTCCAGTTGGGCTTTCTCGTCTTTCTCGTTTTTTATTCCATGTTTGCTATATTAAAACCAACATTCAAACCAGCACTTAAATAGACAGCAATCAGTGTTGGAAAGAGTGGAACAATTTTTATCATTCAAAGCCAATCCACTACCTTAGGAAATTAATATCATGGTAAAAAAAAGATTTATATACATATATAAAATGTGGGAGTAAACCCTATATTTAAAATTGCTATTTTTTTCCTTCTTGGACAACCAACCAATCACAGTCTTCAAAAGATTGTGTCATACATAGGAACGGGGTCAACCCCGCCTCCTCACTAAGATGAAAGTTTGTCTTCTCCTTACTCAGAGTTGCTCTCAGATCGACTCCGACATAAACGTTTTTAAGCTAAATTAAGAGTTTTCTTCGAGAATTCTTAATCTTTATGAATACGGGCCCGGGACTTTAAAATGAAAGTGTACGATTAATTATGCTAAAAATACAAGGCTTGACTTAATTTAACTTAATGTCTTTAGTTTTAAGTTTATAGGCGTCACCATGGAGAAATTCCAAACAATATCAAGGCTCCCCTCTGGGTCACATTGTTCCTCAAAAGAATTTGGTACGGTCTTACTAATGCATTCATTTAGTTTGACTTGTGCATGGTAATAATGGCAAATAGCCTGCCACAAATATCACTGAAGCATCAGCATTATTGTGGCAACATTAGAGTGAAAAGAATGAAGCACTTCATTATGAATTAAACTGCTTTTAATGCTTTTAATGCCAGTGTTCTAATGGGTTCATTTGTGTTTCAGAATGTGTGGGTGGATTCAATAAACAGGTACGGAAAAATGAAAGGAAAATAGGCTGAGTGTTTATGAAATGCTAATAAGAATTAAATGAGGACTTCTAGTAATTTTGATAATGATAATAGGTGACACTCAGCCTTTTTGCCTTTTCCCTTTACGACTCAAAACAAACAAAGCATTCGATTAGAAAAAAAAAAACTGTGATTGTTGTTAGTCTGAATTCAAATTATGTGTATTTATGGACTGGGATGATTTTTTTGGGGGGGTCAGAATGTAGAGATTTGCTGGAGGCATGTCCTTCTGGTACCAGGTGATGGCGCTGTTTTATCTAACCTGACTAGACTAGGATTTCCCACACGCTGCTTCAGTACAGGAACAAACACACACAAACACTTATTGCACCACGACGTGTATGTCAACAACACACACATATATTTACCTAAACATTTTGAACACACTATTGCAGTTCAAAAATCATCAACCCGATGAACTACCGTATGTCTTGTTTTGAATGTAGTGCACTGCTCACCCTCATTCTCCCCCAAAGACAGAGTCCTAGCCTTCCACATGATAACGCCACGCTCAGTTAATTCCTGCAACTAACACTGTAGCCTTCATGCTGGATGGATCCCCGCAGAGGCCTTGGCCCCAACGATCCACAGGAGCCCTGTGCCGAATACAGTGACAGCGCGGCGCATGCCTCATTTCCAAGGTCGCGAGGAGGACAGTGCAGAATGGGCGACATACAACCACTGTTTCCCTGAGTCAAGACAGGATGGCCAGAAAGGAAAGAGCACTACTGGGGAAGCCCAGAAATAGATGGGCTAATGTTTCAGTGACCCCTGCATCTCAAGTAAAATTCATGAAAGCAGAAAGAGGAGAATAACAGTGTCTCTGCTTCTGTGTCACATCAATACAGGGGAGGGGAGGAAAGGGGAGACAGGGTTTCTAAAATTAACCTAGATAGTATGATATTTAGTGAATAAATATTTAAGTTTACACATTTATGAGAATGATATCTGGAATTTGCCTGAATTTAAAAGGCTGTGGATTTCAGCACCTGCTGGTGGACAGCTCCCTCCCCCTTACTAGTGTTATAGACACATCTCTCTCATTCCCACACACACACACATATTAAACTCTATCAACGTAACAGATGCAAATTTGTTAAATGTACTGAAAATGGCATGTGTGTGTGTGTGTGTGTGTGTGTTCGCTAGTTGCTTTGATGGATAACGATGTGTATTTCTCCCAGGTTCGGACATCTGTCCACACAGCTGCTGTAGCTCCTATCAAAGTTTAATAGTGTTTGTCAAATCTCTCTCAATATCATTTTAAAAGCCAACTCATTTAAAGACACTGCATCAACCTTTAAATGACGATAAAATGTCAGAGTAATATGTCTTTGTCTTAATACACAAATCTCTGTAATTTTTGATTCTGATTGGTCAGTCGCAGCACTCTGATATTTGCAAAGCCAAATGCTGTGTCCGAAATCACCCATTACTCACTATATAGTGGACTATATAGTGAGCTCGCCATTTTGTAGTGCTGTCCGAATGTATGGTGATGATTATTATACCCTATATAGTCCACTCAATGTATCCCAGAATGCATTTTTAAAAGTAGTGTACAATCGATGGTCACTAACCTAAGCCCTACATACCATCATGCATTGCGCTGATCGTAAAAATAAGTGTGGAGTAGCTCATAATAACAAAAACGGCCAGAAATCACTTTTAGTTTTCAAATTTTGGAGAAATAAGCTCAATATAATGTAATGTATTTATTTAGAAAAATATATTTAGCCCAGAGCCGGCTCTGCACCAGCTGACAGATGATGTAATCAACGGCGCCGAGAGACGATCGAGTAGTGTCCGAAAGTGTTGTTCTATTATGCTGGTGAGCTCACTATATAGTGCTCTGCTCTCTACCCCATATATAGGGGGTAGGGAGTAGGGGTTTGAGTGGAGATTTGGGACACAGCAAAAGTTGTATATCGGTTTGCTCATCTGGGTAACTGAAATCTAAACTACCTTTATGTTTGTTGTATCATTTGTCTCGTTTTATACAATATTCGATTCAATAAAGGTGTTGTCTTGTTGCGAGACAATGGACTTGTAATAGACTATTTTAATAGACTACGATAATATAAAGGTTAAAACATGTTTACTTCATGTTTACGTTACGCATAGTATCTATATTAAATGATCACTGACAGTACATGCTACAGAGGCAACATGAAGATAACTTTGTAATTATATAATTAAAGGTACAATATGCAAATTTTGGCCCTCTAGCAGTTCTAAAATAACTAAGCAGTTAACTAAGCAGTTAATTAAATAGTTAACTGCGACTAAGCAGTTCGCATCCAAAATAAAAGTTTGTGTTTACATAATATATGTGGGTGCACTGTGTATAATTATTTTGTATATATATATATATATATATATATATAAATAAACACACATGAATGTATATTTACTATACAGTATACACACACACACACACACACACATATATATATATATATATATATAAAATAATTATACACAGTGCACCCACATTTATTATGTAAACAAACTTTTAGTTTGGATGCGATTAATCACGATTACTCGTTTGACAGCCCTGGGTTGTAACCATAGACAGTAAAAGAAATGGACATAGCTAGCGACCCCATTGATTTCAATGGAGAAAATTGAAGCCTGTTAAAAGCTGATCGCCAGGCATACTCTTTTTACAGTCTATGGGCGTAATGCACAGGCTCAAACTGAGCCTTTAATGTGAGCAACCTGTACAGTATGTCTTCTAGAGCCCGTTCTCATCCTTTGGCGTCATATAGGTGACGCCATATGACATTTCGTCGAAATACTATGCACATGGCACCCTTTAGCGTCAATATAACATACAGAACCCAAGGCGGCATACAGTTGAGTGGCATCCTTTTGCGTCAATATGAGACGCAGACCCTACCCTAGAAACCATAAACCTACTACCTATAACAGTGCATGTTATATTGACGCTAAAGGGTGCCATGTGTGTAGTATTTCGAGGAAATGTCATAGGGCGTCACCTATATGACGCCAAAGGATGAGAACGTGTTGGTCTTCTACTAGCTGTGCCGAGTGAAACCTGAATAATAAAGCCTCCCTCGACTTTTTTGGACTTTATGCCTCCACTTACCCCCGATTGCCTGCGAGCTTCTCCTCCAGTCAATTCGGTAATTTCTCTACTGTGCGACGAAGATTCGATTCGTTATGACGCAATTATTAGCCTATTTTTACAAAAACTGCTTCTACAGGGCCATAATGTAAGATACAAGGTAATGGAGCCTTTTATACATTGTCGTGTTTCTTTAGAAATAAATAATGGAGTCTTTGGACGCCTCAGATGTATAGTAATTCGCTGACAAAGTGACGCCAAAATGAATGGGAGTCAATGGAATGCTAACAGCAGGTGAAGTTCTGCTACAATGGCGGCTTATTTTGGCTGAAGGATTACCCCCTTGGTTGTAACTCATGGCGAGAGATTGCTCAAACTGCGAATGCGTCGAATGCCTGTGTATGGTTACGAGTCAAAAAAGAAGTAGCCTATACTTTGCAAGGCTGTGCGTTCGTAAAAAAAGTCTGCGTGCTCCTTGTCAACCAAGAGATGCCACACCACACAGGCGTCAAACAAGCAGGAGCAACTTTTCTTTATTTATGGATATGACGAGACGTGAGTGATGTGTGTACGCAATTTCCTGGGAAACGATCCTGTCAGCTCTAAAATATAAATACTTACAACAGACTTACTATAGTGATTCAGAGTAAGACAAAACACGTTTTAGAGGAAGGATTAATGGTGTATTGAGTCATTATTTAAATTTGGTTCATTTTAAAGAAAAAAAAAGTTGGTGTACCTTCAGCAAAATTGACTTAATTCCTTGATGTATGATTAAGACAACCCCAAAAAGAAACAGGCCTTCACGGCTCCTTTTATAAGTGCATGATCCTGAATGGATGCTATCTAATCCGTTTAGAGCTATCTGGGTGTCTCTCTGAAATGAAGTGATCACACTGCTGCAGTAGAGAGATATCCAGGCTTAAAAGATGGTTATCCTGCTTTATGACTCGTATCTCCCTTTGGTGGGCATTTGGAGACCACTTCTACAAATAACACATGATATAAATAATAAAACAAACACTAAATAATAAAACAAATACATTAATACAATTGAAAAAAGAGATCCTCACTTCAATCTATAAAAAGCATCCACTTTTACAAACCTTCGCTAATTTCATTAGTTCTTGCTAAAGCCAAGTCAATTCATCCTTAATGAGAATCTCACACATTTGCAACTTTCTCTGCTGAATAAAACTTATTTTAACAAGACCACAGCCAGAATGAAAATTCAGCAAAACTAAAATGCAATAAAAGTGCAGAAAATGTTTAGCTGTGTGTTTTCATTTTTTAGGTCTATTAAATATATCCCCCAATTATGAGAAGAAACTGCAACCAATTTGGTGATGTCTAAACTAAAAAGAAGCATTTTAAAAATAAGATCGTCTTTTCTATAAAAAGCATAGAAAGCAGAACATCTTCCCCAGCTGAGCAGTTAATTGGCACCAAACAGTTCTTCCAGTGTTCTTGTTTGTAAAGGAAATTTCCTGGGTTGGTAATTCAATACAGATAGGACAAGTCAAATCCAAAGTAATGTCATCTGAGGACATTTATGAAAAGATGTGGTAATGAAAGAGGTCAGCTTTGTTCATCCAACAGGTATGAGCCAATAATCAAATGCTGCCCGTATACATTAAAATGCTCTCTTCAAACTGAAACAGTGAAATGCCCTTGAAGGACACTTAAAGTCAGCTGAAATTCCACTCTAATCCAGCCTTTTTAAAACACAACAGTTAAACATTCTCTTACATGAAAACATAATAATTAAAATCTGCCGGAAGGTAAAACTTAATGAATCAAAAATAAAAGGACAAGTAGGTTTCCATAGAAACATGTATAATTATGATAATTAGGCAGCCATGAATGTTGAATTTCTCTGAGTTAGGTAAATATGCAGACAAACGCAGATAAAGAAGAACAATCCTCGTTGACGTTTTCAGTGTACACTTGAAGCTTCACCTGTTTATGGAATCTGTCTGATAGACACAAGCTCTTCTGCTTTCAGCCATTATAAGAACAAAGGACCCTAGAATTATCATAGGCTCCTCTAATTTTTCTCTCATGAATATTCATGCAACCATGCCATTATACTGCCATAAATCTTTTTTTTTTCTCAGTAAAAGTCTACAGTTCTGACCTCTCCAAATCACAAACGCTCCCAATCATGAGTAATACATTATTCAGGACCTACACTGATTGTCTAAACAACATCATCAAAAAAAAAAAAAAAAAAAAGACAGAAAAAAAGGCAATTTAAAGTTTTTTTTTGTATCAACATGATGAATGAGTACATAGCACAACTTTGTTCCTTCAAGCATTGCGAATGACGATTTGTTAAATTGGGATATATATATATATATATATATATATATCTCATACGTATTCTCTATGAGATCACATTGCATGATTTTGCGATTAATCAGTTCTAACATAAAAGTTTGTTTATATAATGTGTGTGTACAGTATATATATATACACACACACACACACACAAACACCGATTTTAAAAAATATTATTATATATATAATATATATTAGTGCTGTCAAATCGATTAATTGCGATTAATCAGTTCTAACATAAAAGTTTGTTTATATAATGTGTGTGTGTATATATATATATATATATATATATATATATATATATACAGTATATACCGATTTAAAACAAATATTATCATATATATAATATATATTAGTGCTG